AGTTGCTCGCACCACCGCGAAACTTTTCTGTTTTCGCCTTCCTCCAAATTGCGCCTCGATTTCTCGCGATTTCACGAATCGGGTTGCAACGAGAGCCAGATTGAACGGCTTTAAAAATCGGAAAATAGGAAACGGCCCGTTTCGAATCGATTGTTTACTCGAAGGATTGAAAACCAATCAGGATGTCTATAATTGAACGTACAAAATGAAAAAAGTCGGAGAACTGGAGGAAAAAAAAAGAGAGAATACCGGAATAAAAATGAAACAGGATAAAATCCATTCACGTTCGACGAACCGAAATTTCGAGTAACGCCGCGTCGTACTTTTAGTTCCGCACTTTTGACATTTCACGAGCTTTTCACAGACAGACAGCGATTTTCAATGGGATTGTCCTGCGGGAAGAGAGACTTCAAAGGGCACGGTATTCGCAAATTGAGCGGAGTCAGTTGGAATACCTTTTTGTAGTTTCGCAAATGCAAAATTCGACACACGGGAAACAGCGGGAAAAAAGAGAACCAGGAGGAAAATGCAGAATCGAGACCCTTTCTACGGGATATTGCTCGTGCCACGATCGAAGCATATTCTTCCTAATTGATATCCAGGACATTATACTAGTTTTCCCATACTCTCTCATCTTTAACCCATATGTCACACTTGCGAGGTGATTTCGATTTACATTTCAAAGGAATTAGCATCGTAAAAGAAAATCCAAAATTCTCCATAAGATTCTCATAGCCGAAGATCGAGTTTCCGAATTTCTAGAGCTATTCGAGAGCAACGATTCATGGAGAGGGAAAAATTCAGGGAAGAATCCATCGCAATCGAATTTCCTCCGCATCAATATTCGAAGGGCTGTGTTCTTCGAGAGAATCGCTCGGATAAAATCCATGCGCTTTGTAGAAGCCTTCTCGCTTTGAGTCTCTCTCGAAAGGAGATGCCGATCCATCTGCAGTTCAACGGGGAATAAAAATGAAAGGATTGTTCCGCGATGCTGTTTGATCGTTGCTGTGTCTCGCGCGTTTTTTCCTCGTCACCGGATCTCAGGAGAAGCGTGCGCAGGCCTCTAGCTGCCCAGATTCGACGAAGGAAGATGGATAGACTTGTCCACGACACGCTCTTGCTCGTGTTCCGTGTGTCCAAGTAATCGACGATTTGGCTTTCTTGCCGACCCTGTTACACACTTTTTCCGGGCCGACACGGGGACCACGATTCGATCAAGGCTCAATCGAAAGGGCCTCTGTTCGCCGATTCAACCGCGCTCGTTTTTTCAGCGAACGAGGAACAAGAGACACGAGCAAGTTTTTAACGCTGCTTCGTAGAAAAGAGCGTGCCGAGTAGCTGAAGATTGAATTATTTACAAACTCGACCGCTCTGCTGCTGCCGCGAGAAGAGTGTTTCTAGTCTCTAAGATGAGATGAGATTAGCGACGTATCAGTCTTATGAATGAATAGGACCTTCTTCATTTCACTTTTGATCGGTACTAAATAGAGTCATTATTAGTATTGCGGTCATTTAACGCTAAACCTACCAATGACTGATGAATGGAAAAGAAGTAGAAGCTTCAAAAAATGGAATAATGGAATGTATATAGATTAAGATGATAACGTTGAACGAATTTTTAACGAAAATTTGATGAATGGTGATTTAGATCATAATAGGTATAACGTTTAAAAGGAAATTCTGTTCTTCCCATATTTTCCAAATTTTCATTCCCAAATTGCAAACTTGGAATTTCGTGTGCAATACGTTCTCTGCAATAATTTCCCATGGTCTCGACAGAGCACTTCTAATCTCGTTCTTAAATCGGAGATTATCCAATGGATCACGAAGTTCCTCGATCACGTACTTTCTTCGGAAAGCGTCGTTAACCTCTAGTTTCGGTTTATTGTCGCGGAAAGGTACATCGGTGGGACCAGGCTTCATTCTAGGCAGGTTCCACGCGATTCCTGTCGCAGCCTTAGGCGATGGAGCACATCGTGGTTGCACGGTCAGCGTCAGAAAATTTCATGGAGCTCCGCGATGTCCGATAGCAGAGATCGCGTAATAGAGACGGCTTGGCGGGGGAGCTGGATGAGTCTGAACCTCTCTGGCTTTCGTTTCATAGGTATCATAGGAAGGAAGATGCCTCGTGCTCTGTTATGGCAGTCCTAGATGGGAATGATAACGACCCACGAGACAGGCTTCCGGGATGCAGTGATATTGGACAAGTGTACGAGGCATTAGATCTCTGGAACTTTTTAATCTTCCATGTTATATTACTATACTACCATAGTATTATTTATTAATTTCGAGTGATAGAGAACGTGATAGAGAAATACAAAGTCAATATAACAGTGTAAGATTTTTAGCTAGATTAATCCTATGCAGACCAAGATCTGCATAGATCTTGTCTAATGAGCAACAACTCCTTTTTAATAGCAAAACAGGTTTACTTAATTGACATATTACCCTAAGTTCCTCTCAATTCTACCTATCAAACACACGGTCCTCTATTCACTACGTCTCGACTACATATAATCTGCCTCTCCCGCGCTCTTGCACCCTTATTTAACACTAGGTTTACGGACGCTATCTGTATACCTATTTTTAAGGACACCTGTCAAATTGACAGGTAAAGGAAACCACGTGCCTTTCTTTTTTAACGATTAGTTTAATTTAAAAACAATTATATATTATATTAACAGTCTTAATATAAGTTAACTGAATCTGTTACCATCGTATAATCGGAGCAACCCTTCCGTCAAATTGACGGGTTCCGTAAATTTAGTGTTAAAATCAAAACTCTCTCTTTTCGTACACAGGCTTCCTCTCTCAATCACTCGACCCAGTCATAAATATCTCATTCGTTCGCATGCACTCCAGGCATCGTCCTAAACACCTAAGTAAGTTGAAGTCGATATCGCTGTTTATTATTTCCCAGATAGAGTCCTTTACTGGAGTCCTTTACTACAAGTCCATTTCTTGGCCTGTGGGCCGAAATAAATAAATAAATAAATAATAATAATAATATTAATAATAATAATAGTACCATAGTAGCTAGGAAAGAAATAGAGCGATCAGAGATATTGGCAGTATTTTAGGTATTATATTTATTAATTCATGAAATTTATGAAATTTATGAATTTTTAGACTGCACGGAGTAAGTATGAGAGCTGGAGAAGCGAATTGGCAAAATTGTCGAGGGAAGGAGGTACTGGGAGAAGCTTAGTGGCCAGATTTCCAGCAGGGGACTAGATTTCATAGGACATGCTGCATAGATCAAGGATATTTTCATTTTTCATCAACCACCAGTTGCCCGTTCGCGGTCGCGTACTCCAAGCTATACATTCTGCTGCATGATTCGAAAGCTGTTCAGAGGTTTTTCCAGCTATGCTTTTACTTTAATGACAGCGATACTCCTCGCAGAGTGTTAACAGTATCATATATCAGGACGAATCAATTATTGAGAAATTAAATTAAAATCGATGTTTCAGAAATGGAAACTCGATATAAATCAGAGCGAAGTCTGTATGGATCGACTGTTTAGAAATAATTCCTCGTTTCTGGAGCATCCAGGAGAGCCCGAGGAACGTGAAATTTCGCGTGTAATTTCATACGCGAAAGAAAATAGAGTAAACAGAAAATCGTATTACCAAGTAAAATGATTTCGAGACGGAATAACGTTCTCCATTGAGACGCGGAAATACCGTACAAATAACTGGGATGTTTGCATAGGATGGGGACACCGGGCAAAACTCATCTTTTCAGATGTTTCCCAGTATACCGATAGTCGTGGTCGAGAGGAATGAATTAAGAAAAAGGCGAAACCGGAGAAGAAGATAGCGGAGGGGAAAGAAAATGTAGGAAACTGCGAGAAGGGGAGAAAGAATGTCTATTCGAGTGTTGGATCAATGATTCGAGTTTAAGTTACGGGAAGATCATAATGAAACGGTGAGAAAATTATTCGATTCCATAATCTGAATATAATCATCGTGTTGTCTACTTTCACGATATGAACCTTATCTGTACGTAACAATCGCATTCGAAACTTCCTGTTAAATTAAACAATCTTAATTAAAATACTTTTTAGGCACATCGAGCAGGAATAAAGAATCATTTCACCATTATGGATCGTCACAATTCTTCGGTCGAATATTATTCCTGTGTATGCAAATCAAATGCAAGAGGATGTATCAAAAATTAAAGGTAGTCAGATAGACAAGGATCTAGAAGAATACAGTCAAGTGACAGAAGTCGAATTTTAATTTTAATCACGCAGTGAAATCGAATCATAATCCGTCGAATTTTAATTTTAATCACACAGTGAGGCCATATCTTAATCTGTCGAATTTTAATTTTAATCATGCAAAGTCGAATTTCAATCCGTCGAATCTTAATTATAATCATGCAGTGACGTCGAATCTTAATCCGTCGAATTTTAATCATAATCACAAGGTGAAGTCGAATATCAATTTGTCGAATTTTAATCATAATCACGCAGTGAAGTCAAATCTTAATCCGTCGAATTTTAATCATAATCGTGCGGTGAAATTAAATGTTAATCTGTCGAATTTTAATCTTAATTACGTAGTGAAGTCGAATTTTAATCATAATTGCGTGGTGAAGTCAAATATCAATCCGTTGAATCTTAATCATCGCGCGGTGAAGTCACATGTTAATCCATAGAATCTTAATCATAATCACGCCGTGAAGTCGATTTTTAATCCATCAAATTTTAATCTTAATCGCACGGTGAAAGAGTAGAAAAATTTCGAACTCCTCTGAGAGAAGTAAGTACGCATCCTCGCACCTAGAGGTGTGTATCCCTCCGAAGGGGGAAAGGATCATTGGCGGCGTGCATCCTACGCGGAGGTGGCTGCAGATAAGCAGAGAAGGGACACAGCCTGGGGGGCGAGAGGCGGAGGAGAAGAAAAACGAAAAGCAGGAAGAGGGTACCGTAGTGAGAGGCGGAGGAGTCTGGCCATACGGAGGAGGGCAGAGTGCGTTTGAACGTTGTGGGGATGAGGAGGAAACGAACGGAGGATGATAAGAAAAAGAAAAGGATCGGAGGTGAACAAAAGACGGCGGTTCGAGAGGTGAGCAAGTGCATCATATCCGGGAGAGAAGGAGCGAAATAAATTCGGCAACGATGCTTGCTTATCGACGAAAATAGGAATAAAGAGGGCTGGTAAAATACGACAATTTAAACCACAAATTTAAAAAATAGAAAGAATGTTAGATCTTTTATTATTATTACAGATTCAACGTATTCTACAGACAGAAGCGAGTAGACAATTTCTGAGAATCTCAAATCTGAATGGTGGATTTGCTTCGGTGTAGTTAATTAGCACTTCCATTAAATCCCTAACTTCGCTCATCTAATGAAGACCCAACTCCTGCCAACAATCGTGAGTCAACGATAGTCCATGCGACACGGGACGTGTTAAGAGACACCAGTGAACAAACTACCTCGTCACGGTGGCTGATTAGTTTTACTTTTTAAATACCGATCAACTTGACATACGATGTACGGAAAATTACCTCTTCCTTTTCGTACGTTCGGGAACCGTTTCGGACCAGTTGGTAAAGAAACCATACCACGAAATTCGGAATGGGCTTAAAACAAAGTTCACGAAACACTTGGAGAAAATCATACGCCTGCCAACAGGGAGACAGGTCGAAGAAGAACGATCGTTTAAGTATACCTTAAGAAGCCGAAGTAAATGAAGTGAAGTAAGAAATGGCGAGAAGAAGGCACGAGGAAGTCAGTGGTTCACGCTGACCGAGTTGGATGAAGAAGATAAACAGCCGGGAGTAAGGAGGACAAGAAACGAGAAAATTGACATGCTGCTCTCGTGGAAAATAGTATGCACAGGAAGGGAAACAAAAACCGTGTCGAGTAAAAGGGTATCGGCAAAAAGAGGAAGGGAAAGGGTGAGAGAGGCGGGGAAGAGGTCAGAAAAGAAGAAATGGAACAGCGAATCGTTCCTCGGGATGCACACTCCTCGGGACAAGGAAGAAAGGAGTCTGTGCGAGAAGAAACGAGTATCGCGGACCAAAGGACGAGGAAGAAGAAGAAGAAGACGAAGAAGAGGAAGAAGAAGAGGAAGAAGAAGATGACGAGAAGTAGAGAAGCAAGAAGAAGAAGCAGAAGAAGAAGAGGAAAGAAGGGAGCCAAGGTAAAAGGGAGACGTGCGAGAGAGGAGGCGAGGGGACGAGGTCTGGGTTGGGTAAGGTGAGGGCTCCTACGGGTGAGTACCACTCACTTCATTGACTCGTGCGTACGCCCGCACGTCTGTCAGTCCATCCTCACTCACTCGATCCTCGCCTGGTCTCGTAGCCACTCTACAGAGGCCAGTTCTCTCCTTCGAGTTGCACGCTTATCTCGTCCTCGTCGTCATCGTGGTGTACGACCTCAGGTGAAGTCGAGGTCGTTGAGTAGTCGAGTCAATAACGCGGTTCCTTTTTTCCTCCGCTTGGTTACGATCGATCGATAGAATCGTGGTATCGCGAACGTTCGTCTACTTCGCGGGTGGATGTCGGCTAGCAGGAAGAACAGGATGACCCTGGCCAGCCTGGGTGGAATCCTCGCCGTCCTGCTGCTCGTGCTGCTGGAGACCTCGTGGACCAGGGCCAAGCCTCAGCAGATCAAACCGGGTGAGTGTTCTCATTGGTCCACTTTTCTTACTAGTCCCATTCTAAACGAATCTTAGCAAATCGAATATCTCAAATTTGCACAAGGCCCACAGCGTATTTAGGAAACATGGTGTCATTTATACAAGACTCTAAAATATTATGTTCTCCATATCATTGAACTCGAGTTCAATTATTCTTTGCTACGTCGTATACAGATAATTCTCGGCTACAGGGCTGAAATTGATACCCAAGAGCGAATGTCATAAGCAGATTTCACTTCGTACACCAAATTCCTCCGCTATCACCGTTCCATCCTGGCGAACGGTTCTCCGGCACAGCGAAGGATTAATTAAAACTCGGCGGATCTGTAACGAGGGAAGCAATACTTCCTCGTTCGCGTAGCCCGTTCATTACGGTTGAGAGTTTATCGACGGCGATCAGTGTGGCGAAAAAAGAAAGGAAAAGAGGATCGAGAGGAGGAAACGTAACGCCATTGTCGATCGGGCTATATCGGCTGCAGAAGAAGAAAGTCCGTAATCATCGGCAGATGTCAGAAACGAAAGCACGCGTGTACACGCGTGTTCCCACGTCGTTGTCGTGGGAGTATTCGAAACGCGGCATTGTTCGATCGGTGGATCGCCCGTTGCGCAATTCCTCTGGATCAGGGTTAACGTACCGACACGATTACGTTACCGGAATTCGTTCGCTGGACGATCGATCGATCATGTACGTCGTGATCGATCGTGTTCGGGATTTTTTTCCTCTGGGACATGCTCCGTTCGTCCTTTCGGCACGAGAATCGACTACCTGGCCACAGGGTGGTCCAGTAACACAGCTGACATCTAATCCGGTGGACGGAAGTGGCTTCGCGTACGCATAACAGCCATTTTTATCTTTTCGAACCGACCATTAATTATCCTCTTTAATTGCGCGTTAATGATATTCGCGATGAGTACATTGATATCCCGCGTTCCTCAAGGTCCCTGCGGTTTTAACATTAAAACTACCGGCCTATAACGAGTAGCCAATTATGTTACACATAAATGATATTAATTATACAGGTATGATTGCTACGATTAAACGATAGGGTCTTAGTTTTCACGAAAGTAACTGTTCCCAGAAATTACGAAGATAAAGGTTCACTATCGAGGCATAACGTTCAGACACGAAGCTCTGCATTTGAAATTTCAGACTTACAGTTATCCACAGTAACGTGTGTTTTCCAAAGACCTTCGAACGATCATCCGCCCGCTGTTATCATAGTTGTTCAATCGCGCGCCTTTTAGTTTCGAGGGCGCCGCAACGAACCGGTTAAGCGATGGAAATTTATTTAAACCGATTCGCGTGGCCGATGCAAATTACGCGATACTTTCTTTCTTCTCCGTCATCGAACCGAGTGCACGTTACCCGATCACCCCAGAACTTCATCACGGCCCTGCTGCCTCTCGAACTTTCGATCCTCGCCTAACGATCCCCCGGAATCGTCGTTTGAATGTTCAACTAAGGACACCGTGTGCAGCTAAGCGTCGCGGACGTCCAAGAATAGTTGGCGCAACGATAGGACCAGCCAGCTCAGCCAGGACTTTACGTACCTTAGCAGACCGCACGGTCTTTCGGCGTTATACGGCCGCTGTAAATGTCTAAGAACTTTAGCTGTTTCGCTCGTGCCGCGTTTGTCCCCTTCCTAAACGCGGAATTATTGTCTGGAACCGAGTCCTGCGTTCACGTTTCAAACTTCTGCGTCCCGAGAAATATATTTCAAGCCACGGTGTATACGTCTGGAAAGCGTTGTGTCTCTTGTACTCCGGTTATGTTCGCTCGCGTGATGGAATATGGAGAACAATCAGGCAATTCTGTAAATTACCGGGTTAACTTACTGTTACCGGTTCGGATGTTGATCTCGTGACCGATTGTCTCAGCAGGCTGTAGATCGTGCGAGGAACGTTAGGCACTCGAACCCTGGTACCCGAGGATCTCTAACTAGCGTCCTTCCTTGGGTTGTTTCACCTCCTAGATTGCACTTCCGGTCAGTTAAACTGATTGCACGAAATCAATATACGTGCTTATTTAATTGCGATCGGTAAAATGTGATTTTATCACTTTCGTCGTGATTCTTGGTATATTCTACAATCTTTGACTTCCAGTTCTAGTGTCCCCTATTCGTAATGGGGTTAACGTTTGTACCTACACGTCCACAGTCGAAACTCGCAATGGTACCCGAGAATCTCTAACTCGCGTCCTTCCTTGGGTTGTTTCACCTCCTAGATTGCACTTCCGGTCAGTTTAACTGATTGCACGAAATCAATCTACGTGCTTATTTAATTGCGATCGGTAAAATGTGATTTTATTACTTTCCTTGTGATTCTTGGTATATTTTGTAATCTTTGACTTCCAGTTCTAGTGTCTCCTATCCGCAATGGGGTTAACGTCTGTACTTACACGTCCACAGTATTTAATAGCTCCTGGTATTAGTATTCCACTTTCGAGCAAGGAGACGCTGTATTGGTGTTTAAACTAGTAGATATCTAAAGTGCTATATCGAAATACTCGGCACAGTGGTCTACGATGATCCATCTATTGCGACGCTCCATCTTAGGCTCTTGGACGAGATCCGTATCAATTCCTCGAACTCTGAGACGTCCACAGCCCATCCGTCGTGTCCCATTGTCCCAGGCCGATCTATGTGTGCCATCGCAAGAAACCGCAAATATCGCGGGCCCTTTCACCTCCGATATTCCGCTAATTCCCTGGAAACACCCGGCGGAAGAGCCATCTCGAGATCGATCGGGCAGAACTCGCGTCGCTCATAAATCTCCATCCCGTGATGGCGTTTAACAAATCGGAGACACATCCAGCTGCGAACCCTGGCTTTTTACCCATCAGCCGTCACGCACGAAATCCACGCGTCGTTCACGGGACCCGTCCATTCGATCTTTCGCGAGATTCCACCGGTTTTTCTTCAACGTCCATTATCTCTCGCAACGTCGACCCACTCTCGCGAGTCCGCCCCGCTCGAATTCGATTCCGTCCCGACGATCGGTTAAGTGATTCTTTTCTCTACCCCAAGCCCCCCCTATCCTACCAATCGGCCGATTCGTGGCGAATGAATCTTACATGGTACGTCCGAGTCAGCCTGGCTCTATATATCATTCCCGCTGGAAAACTCTACCCGATCTCCTTGGCCCTCTCTCACCCGACTCTCGCAGCGATCCCGTGCCAACTGCCGGATACGCTGGTCCGCCGATATGGAACTATTCCGGTTTATTGGAGGTGGCGTATGCAGCCAAACATCTGGCTCCCGCGAGATATATCGGCGACCCGGCGAGATTCCGCCGGATGTTTCACATCGGCTGGTTTTTAAGTCGATCGGCAACGTGATTGATCCCGCAGATTGAGTTCTTCTGAGCGCTAGGCGCGAATTAGGGCAGATAGATGGGGTTGCTGTTCCTGGACTTTGAGAGGTTAGCTCGGTTTTATGCGGATCGTTGAAGGGTTTAGTTATGCGTCCATCGTTGTCGAGGGATTGGATGATTTTATCATAGTTGCGATTTATGAAGTCATTTACTGAGATTCCACGATTGTGTTCTTTGTAATTAGACGAGGTTATAATACCGATTTTGTAATTCTGGCTTTAATATGTCTATTTAATATTTTTCTTGTCAATTAGTCGTGAAATTTTAGTATTGATTCGGTATTTTAATTATAGCTTGCGAAATTCCTTTTTAGAAGACTCGACGATGTTTTTAGGTTAGGTTTGAATTAGGTGATGAGGTTATAATATCGATTTTGTATTTCCGGATATAATATATATATATATTTAATATTATTCTTGTCAATTAATAGTGTTATTTTAGTATCGATTTTGTATTTTAGTTATGGCCTGCGAAATTCTTTTTTATGAGACTTGACTATGACTTTAGGTTAGGTTCGGATTAAGTGATGAGGTTACAATACCGATTTTGTATTTCTGATTTTAATATATATATATTTAATATTTTTCTTGTTAATTAATAATGGAATTTTAGTACCGATTTTGTATTTTAATTATGGCCTGCAAAATTATTTTTACGAGACTTGACTTTGATGTCTTTGAATTAGATGATGGGATTAGTAGATGAGGTTATAATGCCGATTTCGTATTTCCGATTCTAATGTATGTATTTAATATTTTTCTTGTCAATTAGTAATGTAACTTTAGTATCGATTTGGTATTTTAGTAATGGCGTGCAAAATTCTTTTTAACAGACTCGACGATGGTTTTTTGATAATTAGTTGGGATATTGGTGCTGATTCTGTATTTCCGTATAATTTATTAGTGATTTTATCTCATAGAAGATTGAATGACCGAGCTGCCTTTTCCTTAAATTTATTATCCAGGGACGTAGATCCGCGCGGACGATGATTTCATCCCCTAAAACCGAGTTTCTTCACCCGGAATGATCTCGGT